CCACTTGACGCCGCTCGGCCAAGCGCGCGCTTCGCTCCAAGCCACACCGAAATAGCCGGTCTTTCCCGATTAGGTATCGAACCTCGCGGCATGCCTTCACGACGGCTACCGGTCCGAAGTGGCCATATGTTGCTCTTCATCTCCGCGTTCGGCATGACGTCACTCTACCGATGGACTTGGTATGTGCCTCTCGGTGAGGCAGGTTCTTGAGGAACAATGCAAAGCCCCTTGTACTCGTATGCCACTCTCGAATAGTCGTAGCGTCCTGTGTAGTATAAAATCGGTCGTACTTCTCTCTAAAAATACAAGATCCGTTCCCCCCCCCCTCGAGTTCAGAGCTCATAAGTCGAGTTCGCCCTGCGTCTAAGCCTCTAACTGCGTCACTTCGTCCCTCACTGCGTAACCTCGAAACCTCGTCCACTGCGTTTACTCGTCGATACCGTCTCGACGAACCCTGGCCATTACGAAACATCTCATCGCACAGCATCGGCTCTCCACTATCGAGCAAAGTCGCGCATTTCTTCGAGGATTCCAGCCAGCGTTGCTCACACGGCTCGAGACCCGACTGCATCTCAAGCACCCCGATCACTACGCCGACGACCCATACACCATGGCAGAGATTCACGCGGCGGCTACGTTCATCTTACACGGTACATCGAGCACACCTACGACAGTGGCTAACCAAGCTACCGCTTCGACGTCGAACACTTCGACAATGGTGCCCCCCGGGATGATCAAAACCGAAGACATCTCGATGATCATCGAAAGCCTGTCGAGGACGATCGCAACACTCATCCAGCCGACGACACACGCTACGCACAGCCACGCCCCCGCACCGAGACAACAAGCTGCCGTCCACGTCCACGAGAACAGCGGAGTTGAACAGACGTGCCACTACTGCGGCAATCGTGGCTGCAGGGTAGGCACCTGCGAGTTCGCGGAGATCGACATCCGGGACGGCAAGTGCAAGCGTAACACCGAAGGCAAGATCGTCCTTCCGAACGGAAGCTTCTGCCCCCGCACTATCCCTGGTCTCACAATACGAGATCGAATCTACGAGTGGCATAGAAGAAATCCCGCAGCACCCGCCGCTCCGACGATGCTCTTCGAGATCGACGATCGCTCGACTATGCAAACCTTCACGCTCAACACCAGCAGCAGAATCGAGGCGCTCGAGCGAGAACTCCTTCAGCTTCGGAAGCGCAGGGAGGTCTTCAACGGCGTCGAGATTCTACAGCGGAAGAAGCCTACGACGCCAGCCGTCCCGAAGAGCGCGGAAGCCTCGGGATCTGGTACATCGAGAGGGGTGGCGGCACCCTCGAGCACTTCAACAAGCACGGCCCCGCCTCCGACGATACCAGCAGCAGCACCCGCGCCGCCTTCGCCGCCGGCGCAATCCACGTCTCAACCTATCGCTACATCCGCTCCCCCAGCACCACCAGTACACCCCTTCGCAAACGCGCGCGACGCAACCTACGCCCCACCGAACGTTCGAAACTTCGCAACTCCGCCAAAGCCCTCGAACGACAAGGGCAAGGAACCAGCGTACAAGACCATCGTCCCCGTTATCCAGCCGAAACTCGCCGAAGAGATCTTCCAGCGTTCGATGAAGTCGCCGTTCGTCACGCTGACCCCAGAAGAGTTGCTGTCAATCGCGCCCGACATTCGAAACAAGTACCGCGACGCCGTCACCCCTAAGCGAGTCTCGACGGAACCCGTCGCGTCGGCCCACATCGTAGAAATCGGCGCCGACGAGGTCACGGCCGTCAACCAGCTCTCGTGTTCAGGTGCAACGTTGGAACCCGGTGCTACAATCGTCCCCGACCCATATGAAACCTATCTGAAGCACATCCCGCACGGCGAGCACCCCGCAGAATTCACCGTCGCCCGCGATTCGAACGCGATTCGTTCGATCATCGCGTTGATCGACAACAAAGAGCAGATCGAATGCATCGTCGACCCAGGTTCGCAGATCGTCGCCATGTCGGAAGAGGTCTGTCTGGGCCTCAACCTCCTCTTCGATCCTACAATCCAGCTGAACATGCAATCGGCGAACGGCGAGGTGGACCGATCGCTGGGACTCATTCGAAATGTTCCCTTCCGCATCGGTGAGATCGTGTTGTACCTCCAGGCTCACGTCATTCGAAACGCAGCATACGACATCCTCCTCGGCCGACCCTTCGACGTGCTCACGCAAAGCGTCGTCAAGAACTTCGCCGACGAGAACCAGACGATTACAATCCTCTGTCCGAACACCGGCGAAACCGTCACGATTCCGACGTACGCGCGAGGAAGATCGCGAAGCCGGCAGCATCCTGTCGGGTGTCGCAAATCGCATTTTCTAGCTTCGAGGAATTGATTCCCCATGATCAAGGAGAAGCCGCGCTAGTCATCGACTACGATGGGGTAAACCCGAGTATTTCCTTCGTCGCTCCTATTGACTCCTCGATTCCGAACGCTGTTTCGTCACTGTACCTCTCCGCATGCACCTCCGTTTCTTCATATTTGCAATCTCTTTACACTTCGGACAATACAGCTTCTAATACCGCTCCGTCGAACGCTTCGACGTGGGCTTCGACTCTTCTATTTTCAGCTCCGTTTGCTTCGACTCCCCCAGCTCCCCCTCTGGCGAAGTCCATCTCGCAGCTTTCCAACTCGATTCTTCCCTTTCCTTCGACGACATCGACTTCTACCCCCTCAACGCACAAGATACTCGCCGCGACGAAGAAGAAGTACAAGCCTGTCACTCTCAAAACTCGACCCGTCCTTGGTGCCGTCCCCGAACAATTTCGTATACTTCGAGACATCAAGGGCGACCCTCTCTCCATCATGCCCAAGCTTTCGACCGACCCCCCGCCGTTCAAACCTACCGGTCGGTACACCCTCGAACACTTCGAAATGACCGAAAAGCTTCACGACGGCGACTTCCTACTTCCCGAAGAACATCGAGTCCTCCACCACTTCATGTGCCTGCACAACGAAGCCTTCGCCTGGACCGACGACGAGCGCGGATGCTTCAAGCCCGAGTACTTCCCCCCCGTCGATTTCCCCGTCGTTCCTCACACGCCCTGGGTGCAGAAGAATATCCCCATTCCGCCCGGGATCTACAACGAAGTCTGCGCGGTGATCAAGCGAAAGATCGCCGCCGGAGTCTACGAACCATCGAACTCGTCGTATCGATCGCGGTGGTTTTGTGTCGTCAAGAAGGACGGTAAATCGCTTCGACTCGTCCATTCACTCGAACCCCTCAATGCAGTCACGATCCAACATTCCGGTGTACCGCCGACACCCGAATATCTCGCAGAACAATTCGGAGGAAGACCATGCGGCGGCATGCTCGACCTCTACGTCGGCTACGACGAACGACTCATTGCCGAGTCTTCGAGAGATCTAACGACGTTCCAGACACCCTACGGAGCCATGCGCCTAGTCACACTCCCGATGGGTTGGACGAACTCAGTCCCGATCTTCCACGACAACGTCACCTACATCCTGCAGCCCGAGATTCCGCACGTTACGGTGCCCTACGTCGACGACGTTCCCGTCAAGGGTCCCGAATCCGACTACGACGACGAGCGACTCCCTTCGAACCCCGGCATTCGACGCTTCGTATGGGAGCATTTCGAGAACATGAATCGCATAGTCACTCGAATGCGCTACGCCGGAGGTACCTTCTCTGGAGTCAAAAGTATCCTCATCGCTCGAGAAATCATGGTGGTAGGACATCGCTGCACTCCTCACGGACGCCTCCCCGACGACTCTCGCGTCGCTGCGATACGCAACTGGGGTCCCTGTGCTACTCTATCCGACGTTCGAGTGTTCCTCGGAACCATCGGCGTCGTTCGTATCTTCATCCGTAATTTCGCTCATCGCGCCGACGCGCTCGTACGCCTCACGAGGAAGGACGTCGAGTTCGAGTTCGGTCCGGAGCAAATTGCGGCGCAGGAAGACCTCAAGGACGCGCTACTCTCATCCCCCGCACTCCAAGCCATCCATTATGATTCCCCCTCTCCCGTCATTCTCGCAGTCGACACGTTGTTCATCGCCGTCGGGTATCACCTCTGTCAGTGCGACAAAGCCAACGCGCGAATCCGTTACTACAGCAGGTTCGGCTCGATCACACTCAACGATCGCGAACGAAGGTTTTCGCAGCCGAAGCTCGAGATCTACGGCCTGTTCCGCGCACTACGATCCCTTCGACTCTACCTGATCGGCGTTCGGAACCTCATCGTCGAAGTCGATGCTCGGTACATCAAGGGTATGCTGAAGAATCCGGACATAGCCCCAAGCGCAAGTATTAACCGGTGGATCGTCTCGATTCTCACATTCCATTTCACGCTGGTCCACGTCCCCGGTACAATGCACGGCCCCGACGGCCTCTCTCGACGCACAGCTCAGCCCGGTGATGTCATCGAAGACGAGGTCGACGAAGAGTTCGACGATTGGATCGACCAGATGCACTCTTTCGTTCACCAGATTCAGCCCCTCCCACCGGTCCCTTCGCTTGCCATCTTCACCAATGACAGAGCCGAGGACGGCTCAGATTTCAATAGGGAGGAGGATAGCTACGAGCTAGTGCCTCGATCGGAGCAAGCGCAACTCGCCGACGCGAAGCTCGACGACGTGCTCGAGTTTCATCGAACGTTAGCGAAGCCCCACGGCATCTCCGAAGGCGTCTACGAAGGGTTCATCAAGTACTGCATGCAATTCTTCCTCGACAACGACACCCTCTGGCGCAAGGACAGTCATGGAGCACACAAACTGGTCGTTAAGCCCGGCGATCGCCTTCGAATACTTCGAGAATGCCACGACCGCACCGCGCATCGAGGAATCTATGCAACCCGAGCCTTCGTCAATGAGCGATTCTGGTGGCCGTTCCACTACGCCGACATCGCCTGGTTCGTTCGATCGTGCCATATCTGCCAGTCTCGACAAGTGCGTCAAATCCTCATTCCTCCAACCGTCGCAGTACCAGCACCCATCTTCGCGAAAATTCACATCGACACAATGCACATGCCAGCTTCGGGCGGATACAAGTACTTGGTCCAAGGTAGATGCTCGCTCACGACTTACCCCAAGTTTCGAATGCTTCAAAAAGAGACAGCGAAGGCCCTCGCCGACTGGATCTTCGAAGACATCCTCTGTCGATGGGGCGCGCTCAGTGAGATCGTCACCGACAACGGTACGGCGTTCATCAAGGCGGCCGATAACCTTTCGAAGAAGTACCACATCAACCATATTCGAATCAGTGGGTACAATTCGAGGGCGAACGGTCTGGTCGAACGTCCGCACTTCAGCACGCGACAAGCCTTGTTTAAGACAGCCGACGGAGATGAGAAGAAATGGTCCCAAGCTGCGTACTTTGTATTTTGGTCCGAGCGCATCACAACTCGACGACGCATGGGCTGCTCACCCTACTTCGCTGTTACGGGCACCCATCCGCTCATTCCTCTCGACATCGTCGAAGCTACGTACCTGCAACCACCACCGACTTCGATCCTTTCGACGACCGATCTCATCGCCCGTAGGGCCATTGCGCTCCAGAAACGCGTCGAGCAAGTCACCGAACTCCACTCGAAGGTCTACGAAGCACGTCGAACTGCAGCAATTCGCTTCGAGAAAGAGCACGAGCACTCAATCCAGGATTTCGACTTCAAACGCGGAGCCCTAGTGCTCATACGCAACACGAAGATCGAGAAGTCCCTCAACCGCAAGATGCGCCCGCGATATCTAGGCCCCCTCATCGTTGTCTCGCGCAACAAGGGCGGCGCGTACATCGTATGCGAACTCGACGGTACAGTCCTCGATCGACCCATCGCAGCATTCCGCGTCATTCCGTACTTCGCGCGCAAATCCATACCAATTCCCGAAGATCTCGAAGATGTCTCGACCGAGCGTCTTCGAGAACTCGAACTATCGAATTCTCTAGGCGACGACGACGATGATGAAGTCGAAGAAGCCGAAGAACGCGACGAATAGAGGTTCTTCCCTTTTATTACTTGTACAACACGATACGTATTTTCTTCTCTCCATGCCTGCTCTCACGTTACGCGATATGTTTGATTTTCTCCTACGTTCTAGACCATCCCTTGTACGAATACCCTCGATTCAACTCGATAGTCGCGACATCGTTCGACGTTCTACGAACGCTTCGATTCGACCGTTGCGCGGAGGCTCACCTTAGATGAGTCCTCCTAGGCTGTGATGACAAACTGAGCCTATATTTTCATTAAGTCCATTTTCCCTTGCTACGAACATTTCTATTTTTCCTTCTGTCCCTCGATCATATTACGATTAGCTTCGAACACACTTATTTTCATTTCCTTTTCTTAGTTCCCGCTAGGTTTCGTCTAGGCCAAGGGCCACATTTTCGATTCGACTATCGACGCGATATTCTACGACATGATTACAACTACGATACAAAACGACTCGCGCCATCGCCTAGTCCTCGTCGACAGCCCCGTGCACAAACCCGATTCCCCCCTTCGCGAGTGCGGCCTTCTCCATCTTCTGGAGGTCGAGGTCCATGTCGTGGAGGAGTGCTCGACGGCGAGCGATGTGAGCGCGCTCCTTGCGGATGACGCGGATGATCCCCCGAGATTCGTCGTCGAGGTCGAGCGCGTCGAGGTCGTCTTGTTCAAGGCCAAGGCGGCTGGCCCCATCGAGTGGCAGTCGTAGAAGGGGGCGCGGAGGCTCGTCGACTCGGCGCTTCTTCGAACCACTCGCGTCCGCGACCGAAGGCCCAGGAGAGGCCGGCCGAACTACGAAGTCGTCAGCGAAGGCCTAGGACAAGAAGAAACGACTTACTGCGCTTTTTCGTGGTTGATCCCCCGCCGCGCGTCTTCTTTGTTTTGCCCAGGACAGACACTTTGTCGAAATAGCAGCCCTGTTGGAACTGCGCGCACCTATCGCAGGTCGTAGCGTTCTCGGCCCACACGCAATCGACCGGGGCCGAGCGGTAGCCGGCGCAACGATTGCACTATCGAAGAGTTAGCTTCGAACCAACTCGACGGAGCATCGAACGTACCTTTTGTCCGGCCTGACGCTTCTCAATCGCCGCGGCGGCCATGTCGACCTCTGTCATCGCAAACGGACGATCGACCGTCCGAGGAGTCTTCTACGAAAGAGAGTTTAGTCATCGAACAACGAGAGAAGAAAACACTTACGATCGAAGGGTCGTCCGACAACTCGGCGACCTCCTCGTCGACTATCGCGCGCCCTTTCCCCTTGTCGAGAAGTCCCTCGGCGGCCGCGATCCTCGCCAACTCCTCATCGGCGGCCTCTTGCGCACGGTGTTCGTCTTCGAGGCGCCGTTCCTCTTCGTCCTTTCGACGCCGTTCGTCTTCGAGGCGACGGTCCTCGGCGGCCTGCGCACGCTTCGCAGCCTCTTCGATGCGTCGTGCTTCCTCTTCGGCGAGGCGCTTCTGTTCTTCGACGCGTCGTTCGACCTCGGCATCGATGGCGGTCGCGAGCTCGGGCCAGTCCCCGCGCGCCCAATCGACCCAGGACTCCGACGCCCGCTCGGCGAGTTGCTTGACGGCGGCGGCGACGCGCAGCCCCGTCTCCTCGTCGCGGATGGCGCCCAAGGCCTTGCGATAGGCGAGCTGTTCGAAAACAAACCGTTAGTTGGGTTATGCAGATTACGAAGCGACTTACCACGAGCGGCGACAAATCTTGCGCCCACTCTTCGACCACGTCGAGCGCGGCGTCGGCGGTCGGCGGAGCCTCGAGGACCACGAGCAGCGAGGCGAGGCGGCGGTTGACGAGCGAGGGAGTCGACGCAGGGGTGGCGGAGCGAGCAGACATCGTAGAAAGCAGCGAGTATGCGGGAAAGGACGACGAGGTAGCGACGAAGGAACGATGGGATGGGGAAAACGAGGCTAAGTCTACCCTGCTTATAACCCCTTTCCGACCAGCATTTAGCGCCGGCCACGTGGCGTTCGAAGTCTACCCGGGTTGCCATTCCGCTTCGATCCGTTCACGACCATCGTGCTTCTCGCATCACGTGGAGGACCGAGGGCGGTCCAAATTTCAATAGGGAGGAGATGATAGGCGCCAAGCCCCTCTGGGCCCCGATTCACCTCTTTTCGGCACTCGCATCCCGCCCGGCACTTCGACTCAGTCCCCCAACACTTCGATTTCACCTTCGACGCTCTTCGACACCTTCGACGGTGCGCGACGCTTACTCGAAGCTCGGCACGGTCTTCCCGATGCCTCGTGCGTAGATCTCGGAACGTCTTCCGCATTCGGCGAACAATAGGGCCACTTGACGCCGCTCGGCCAAGCGCGCGCTTCGCTCCAAGCCACACCGAAGTAGCCGGTCTTTCCCGATTAGGTATCGAACCTCGCGGCATGCCTTCACGACGGCTACCGGTCCGAAGTGGCCATATGTTGCTCTTCATCTCCGCATTCGGCATGACGTCACTCTACTGATGGACTTGGTATGTGCCCCTCGGTGAGGCAGCTTCTTGAGGAACAATGCAAAGCCCCTTGTACCCGTATGCCACTCTCGAATAGTCGTAGCATCCTGTGTAGTATAAAATCTGTCGTAGTTCTCCCCAAAAATACAAGATCCGGTCCCCCCCTCGAGTTCAGAGCTCATAAGTCGAGTTCGCCCTGCGTCTAAGCCTCTAACTGCGTCACTTCGTCCCTCACTGCGTAACCTCGAAACCTCGTCCACTGCGTTTACTCGTCGATACCGTCTCGACGAACCCTTCGACTTCGACTATTGTCGAAGAAACTGCGAACCGCGCCCTAGCTAAGTACACCCTATCGAATCGTGTCCCTTCTCTCTACGATACATCGAAGAGCTCTGCCGAGCTTCGATCGTCGCTAACTTTCCACAGCTTCCGAGTAGCTTCGACGACGTGTCGAAGCCACCTCGTACCTACCCGTTTGTTCGTAACCTTTCCCAAGGGCGTTTCTCGTGTTCACTCGAACCGCGGTGATACGACCTACGAAACCCTAACCCCTAACCTGGGTGCGACCTAAAGGGACTAGAGAGACGGATTATAGTCTAAAGAGAGGGGAGTTAGCAGCAAGGTGTCCCGCGGTTCGAGTGAACACGAGAAACGCCCTTGGAAGAGGCTACGAACGATGGGGAAGGTACGAGGTGGCTTCGACACGTCGTCGAAGCTACTCGGAAGCTGTGGATAGTTAGCGGAGACGATCGAAGCTCGGTAGAGCTCTTCGATGTATCGTAGAGAGAGAAGAGACACTATTCGATAGGGGGGGGACTTAGCTTAGTACGCGGTTCGAGGTGCAACGCAGTTCTTCGACAATAGTCGAAGTCGAAAGGTTCGTCGAGACGGTATCGACGAGTGAACGCAGTGGACGAGGTTTCGAGGTTACGCAGCGAGGGACGAGGTGACGCAGCTGAGGACGTAGACGCAGGGCGAACTCGACTTATGAGCTCTGAACTCGAGGGGGGGGACCGATCTTTTATTTTTAGGGAGAA